AAAGATTTGAAGCTGTAGTTTAATGTAGTCTTTTCTTTCTTTTACTGTCTGTACTTAGAACTTTCTATGCGCTGCCCATGTAAACTCTGGTTATATACTGAATCTTGGTTGTATATATGTTAGCTAGTTGCCTTCACTAGAATCAGGTAGTTGTTGTTTATGTATAACATGGGCACTATCCTATAGCAGTTTAAGTTGTAAACTTCTTCCCCGTAGGCTTTTAGTTTAAAAGGACTAATAGTGTAGTTGTAACATTCTGCTAGTTCAATTTGTTCGATTAAACAGCATGTTCCAACTACACATCAGGCCTTAGGTTGATTACTCAATAGTTCAAACTATTTTAATTAACAACTTGCTCATCTAAATTCGTAAAAAAAAACGGGTTTCATTAGGTATCACTTTCATTTCGGATTCTTAAAGTTTGAACATGTGTAGAATCATTCAGCTAAGCCCAACATCTGAATAAGGATGGCACAGGTCCAGTTTTACCCCTTATACATTGGACCTGGGCCCATAATTGTTAACCGACTGCCCTTATTGTATCGTTTTCAGATTTAACGACTCACTTTCGAAACTCAACTATAATAACTCGTGAGCATGTAAATAAGTTAGAACTCTTTTTCTTTCATTATAGAAACGAACGAAATAGAAAACATAGTCACTATAGGTCAATCCTTTTAAAAAAATAAAAATGAGGCATGCCTTGCCAAACAAAAATGCACAAGCTGCGGGGCCCTCTATACGTGTTTGTAAAGTTGCTTAGACTCCGGGACGGACCGTTTAGCAAAGTTTCACGGCCTTGCCCAACATAACGATACGCCAATCACTTAGGGCGCGTCTTTAATAAAATTACTTCCCTAAGTATGGGTGTGCATTTATGCAACCCAAATCCAAATCTCAACAGAGTTGAAACGTGTCTATGACCACGGGTGCATTGATTGTGACGAGGTTCGAGATACGTTTTCACGACGTTGCAATTCTATAAAAAATAATAATAATAATAAAAGCGGTCTAAACTTAATAAAAGCACACAAGTTATAACATGTATTAAAATTAGATATTTAGCCATTATAACAATTTAAGCGACCGTGCTAGAACCACGGGATCCGTGGGTGCCTAACACCTTCCCTCAGGTCAACAGAATTCTTTACTTAGAATTTCTGGTTCGCAGACTTCATTTGGAAAGTCGAAAATTTCCTCGATTTGGGATTCAAGATAAACTGGTGACTTGGGACACTAAAAGCCAAACCTTTCCCAAGTGGCGACTCTGAAATAAATAAATAATTTAATTTTCGAATAATGTCACTTAAATTGGAAAAACTCCATCACGCATTTACCCTTCGGGGTAGGCGCGCAAAAAGGAGGTGTGACAATCATGATGTTGTTGCGCGAAGCTTGTTGTTCCAATGCTTCTGTTGCTTTTGTTTCACATTCGCAGTGCACATTTCGCCTTCACGTTTGTGAATATTGTTCTGTTTAAAAATCTTTAGTTTTCTGTGAATTTAGATGGAGAATTTAGTTTGAGAAGATGGAAAATGGTAAAAAGAATGTGGGTATGGATAAAATGTGGGTGGGACTGAGGGGTTATGAGAGAGAAATGTGCAGATTCCTTTAATTAAGGAGTAAATAATGTACAATTAATTATACCCTTAATTAATTATGGTATAGAATTAGTAATTTGGTATACTAAGTGTAATTAAGTCAAACCTTAAACATTGAGGGTAATAAGGTTTCTTATGTGGCATAGGAATGTAAAAATTCCTTTTTATAAGCCCATAAGTTTAACGACAAGGATATACTTGAACCAAACTTCTAACGGAGGGCAAATCTAGACATTTTTGCAAAATACAAGAGTATTTTTGGACCTTCTCCTTTCTTTTAAGGGTCATGTTTTCCAAATTCATATTGGTACATATTTTTTTTTTCTGCTTCTTATGCATCTAAATATTCTGTCAAAAAAATACATTGAATAATTTGAATTGCACATGAATTTTCATACTTTCTAATGTTTTCAAGCATCTAAGTACATTGAAGTAGTCATTCATGGATTAGTTTATTTTGATATCAATCAATAAGTTATCAACTTCCAAAATCAAGTTTTAACTGTTCTACATTTTTATTATCCTTTTAAATTAAAATTTAAATAGAATACAAGAAAATAACAACAACAACAACAACCCAGTGTAATCCCACAAGTGGGGTATGGGGAGGGTAATATGTACGCAGACTTTACCTCTACTTTATGAAATTGTACTAAGGCTGTTAACACCGATCCTTACTATTGCTAGAAACATTTTTCCTTTTCATTTTTTGAGAAGTTTATCTTGATAGCATTCTTCGGGAAGGTTTACCCCAAGATGACCAAACTAGATTCAATGTGGTGTTTGTTTAAAAAAAATGTTGAACTTCTTTTCTGAATTCTTTTTCAATTTTCCAAACTTTCACTAGTTCTGGATAAGTCGATACATCCCTACAACCATGACTTCCTTAAGAAAAATGACCTAAAACCACATAGAGCTGTAGATCAGATGTGTATGTTTAACTAGAGGTGGCATAATGGTTAAAAGAAAATAAGTCCTGACCCATATTATCCATCAAAAAACGAGTTGGATAATGAACCATTTAAAAACAGGTCGAATATGGATAAAGAACCATATTGTCCATTTAGAAAATAGTTAACCAAATGGATAACTAATGTGTTTAACTTTTACATTTGTAAAGCCTCAAATTTGAGGATTCGAGTTCCTCAAATTTGGAAGACTAGGAATTCTCTCATAAGTGATCATATTTAAGAAGCCATGGATAATATGGATACCCATATTATCCGCTAGATAAACCCGGGTTTATCCGTCTCAAATATGGGTCGGCTCGAATAATTTATCCGTTTTTTTATATTACCAGTTTTGACCCATCCGACCCGACCCGACCTGCTCGTTTGCCACCCCTATGTTTAACTGTGAAAGTATTGCTATGTGACAGTGTCCATCCCTAGCTTGAAAAGCTTGACTTTTGGTTCCATGAGATTTAAGTTTGTTTTCACTAGCATAACGCTATATACAACCACATAGAGTTGCATTCTATACAATACATTCTATGCAACAGGGAGTCGAGCAAGCTCCACTCTTTACAAAAAGTTAAGTTTACAAAATCAAATACACCAAAAGGCAGGGAGAGTAATATACATTTTTTTTCCATCCCTTTCAAAAAGAAGCAACTAAAATAGACTAGTTAAACAAAAAATTCATAGGAGTTTAAAGTACTAAACAAGTGGAACCATCTTACATACCTTCCGCAGAAGTAAATATGATGACATTAAACAAAAGTTTGGCTCTACTAACCATTTCGAAGACACAAACATCACCTACTTTTAGGTAATTGTCCAGCACAAACTCCTTCCAACCAGAGGTCAACTTAGCGTTAAATGTTCCAAGAATGCATTTTACAGCCCATGATTTCTTGCTTGAAACTTGAAGCACCACATCACTATGTCTAGTGGCAAAAAATTTCTTAGCTCTTGACAGCGTTATGGACTGTCAATTTGAAGCATGCATTATTATACAGAACATAAGATTCATCATTAATCATGGATTAGCTTTAGGTCACTAAAATATTCAACTTCACGAGACATTCAAGAATAGCTATCTTACCAATTGCATCGGGCCGCTGGCAGAAGACACATATGATGGTTGTATGAAACATATGAAGAATGGATTTTCAGATGTATAAGCTTTTGCTCTTTCATATGCTAAGACTATTTCTTTGGCCACCGCACTGCCATTACAAGAAGACTTGGATTGTTGCACATGCTTCCTAGTATCTTCACTGAGTTCTTCTGCAGAAAATCAAGCCAACACGAGAACATTTAACGATCAAGAGAGTACATTTAGTAGATTTTAAAAATTAACGCAATGATTTTCTCTGTACATCAGAATCACCTTTAATTTTTGAAGTGAATCCATCTGAATCTCCTTTCTTCTTCTTTTCAAGATTCAATTTCCTGTTGCGAACTATTTTGGATTGAGAACATGGAACCGAATTCTCAGTCTTGATAATCTTGTTTTTACTATCAGAAACTCCTGCCAATTTTCCATCTATCTTATGTATTGCTTTGCTCTCAGTTGCACGGAATATAGTGATATCTAAAGTGGGTTCAGTGCCCTTAATCAATTCAAATACACAAACATCACCAAATTTTAACTTATTGTCCAGTACAAATGCCTTCCAAGAGAAACAAATTTTTGTTTTTGATATACCCAGGGCGTATTTGACAGGCCAAGACCCTCTTCCAGGAACACGAAGCACTAATAAATTGCCACATTCCTCCGGGAAATATTTCCTAGCAAATAAGAACGCTATGTGCTGCCAAAAGAGATGGACAAAGTAAAATGGCATGCACCCATATGGATTGAATACAGATTAAAGTATGGGGAAAGTCTATAAAGTTTATAGCTTACTAGATTGTATGGTTTCGAGACGTATGATGGTTGCATAAAATATATAACAAATGGATTCTCAGATTTGAAAGCTTTTGCTCTTTGATATGCTATAGACCTCTCTTTGTCCAATACTGTCTTGTTCTTAGCATAAACCCCCTTGGATTGTTGCTTGTGCATCCTGCAACTTTCTCCGCTTCCTTCAAACAGAAACTCGAAATCAATGTATTACTACTAAATTGTCATGTAAGCAAATGATCAATTCTGTTAGTAAGCCAGAATAAACCTTTCTTACTTTTGGTTTTTCTTGTGAAAGAAGGTGAAGCTACATGCTCTTGTGTGTTTTCCACCTTGATACTTTTGGTGTGAATGTCAATTGAGACATCATCCTCTATCTCCTCTTCTGGTCCTTTTGTTTTGCTGCTCTTTCCTAACGGGTAATGGCCCAAAATCTCAACAGAATGCTCAATCCCAGTGCCTTCCCCATGTTCTTCTGAAGATATTCGAGCCAATATAACCTCATCAAAATGATCAAGAAAACTGACTATAAAATGGAACACTAAAATGTAAGTTTCTGAATATTTTATAGAGAATCCAATTTATCACCTTTACTATTTGAACCGGAGCCATATGAACCTCCTCTTTGCTGCTTTAATTTCTTGGTCTGAACAATTTTGGATTGAGAACATGGAACAAAATTATCAGTATTGTTAATCTTGTTTTTACAATCACAAACCCCTGGCTCTTCGCGAGCTATCTTATGCATTGGTGTGCTCCCAGCTGCTGGAAATATAGTAACATCCATCAAGAGCTTACTGCCCTTAATCACTTCAAATACACAAACATCACCAAATTTTAACTTATTGTCCAGCACGAATTCCTTCCAATAAACATTAGCATTTGCTGTTCCGATAGTATGTGTGACAGACCAAGATCCCCCGCCTGGAACACGAAGCAGTAAGTTGCCGTAGCTCTCAAGAAAATACTTCCTAGCCAATTTCAACGATACAGACTGCCAAAGGATATGGATCAGTAAATTGATTTTAACGTTATGCCATCCATATGTATTGAATAAGGATCAGAGTATTGGAAAATATACAGAGTTTATAGCTTACCACAATGTACGGTTTCAAGACATACGATGGTTGCATAAAAGCTATAATGAATGGATTCTTAGATTTAAAAGCTATTGCTCTTTGATAGGCTATAGCCCTCTCTTTGTCCATTACTGTCTTGTTCAGATCACAAACACTCTTGGATTGTTGCTTGTGCATCCTGCAACTTTCTGTGCTTTCTTCAAACAGAAATTCAAAATCAAAGTATTACTACTAAATTGTCATGTAAGTAGATGATCAGTTATCAAGTACGCTCATAGCCAGTAAGCTAGAATAAAAAGTTTCTTACTTTTAGTCTTTCTGGTGAAAGAAGGCGAAGCCACATCCTCTCGTGACTTTTCTACCTTGATATTTCTGATGTGAATGTCAGTTGAAACATCGTCCTCTGCATCCCCTTCCAGTCCTTTTCTTTTGCTGTCATGTCCTGATGGACAATGGTCCAATATCTCAACAGAATGCTCAATTTCAGTGCCCTCCCCATGTTCTGAAGAAATTCAAGTCGATATAACTTTATCGAAACCATCAAGAAAATTAACTGGCACAATGGACACTAAAAAGTCAGCTTATGATCTTTTTGAATACTCCAGAATATCTTATAGAGAGTGAAGGTGTTGGTTTATGTTTAGTCAACAATGGCATGCCAATTGGAAGAGTTGGTGGAAAGAGTTGGTGTGGATGCTAGGAGGAAGCTTCCTCCTTTGATGTCACTCATGACATCAAGAGGAGGTAGTTTGATGTCACCAATGACATCAAGAGGAGGTCTTTACCTCTATAAATAGATGCACTCCTTCACTTGTAGAAATCATCCCAAAATAATACAATACATTGTAGTGAGTAGAGAGTTAAGAGAGAAATTCTCTTAAGTGTAATTGGGAAATCTCCCCTTCCTTTGTTAATATTAAAAGGGCAATTGTTCTCTGGTGGACGTAGGATTATTTTGATCCGAACCACGTTAAATCTTGTGTTCTTTCTTTTACGTTTCCGCTAACAATTGGTATCAGAGCGACAGGATTCTTTAACGATCCAAGGAGAAAGAACAAGCAAATATGAGTTCCATGAAGTTTGAAATTGATAGATTCAATGGACGCAACAACTTCAATATCTGGAAGATCCAGATGATGGCGTTACTGCGGAGGGAAGGTTCAATCCATGCTATTGACGGAAAGTATCCTACGGATATATCAGCTCCCGACAAGGAGAAGATTGAAGGGGATGCATTGAGTGCAATCCAACTATCCCTTGCACCTAACGTGCTTTGTGAAGTGAGTACGGGTACCGAAGAGACGGCCAAACAGTTGTGGGAAAAGCTAGAAGGGCTATACCAAGACCGATCAGTGACAACAAGAATGTTGTTACAACGGCGTCTTCACACATTTAAGATGGGGTCAGGTACTTCGTTACAAGATCATTTAGATGCGTTTAATAAACTTGTCATGGACTTACAGATTGCAGGAATTAAAAGGGAGGAGGAGACGCTTGCATGTGCTTTGCTATTTTCATTGACTTCAGGATATCGTGATATTGAGAATTCAATGATGTATAGCAAGGAGCCTATCAAGCTTGAGCAAGTGCGGCAGGCACTTAACTCTAGTGATGTGCGGAGGCACATTGAAGGAGATAGAGATGACCAGGCAAGTGGCCTCTTTGTAAGATTCCGGACTAGCCAACAGGGAAAGACCAAATCAAAGCACAGATCAAAGTCTCGTGTGAACAAGAAGAATACAGAGTGTTGGGGTTGTGGCAAGAAGGGGCACTTTGAACGAGATTGCCCAATGTCAAAGTCCAAGGAAAAGGCGAGTGCATCTACAGTTGAACAGGTACATAATTTTGATAATGATTATGTACTAACAACATCGTGTAATAATAATAGTAGTTATGAAAACAAATGGGTGTTAGACTCTGCTTGTACTCTGCATATGACGTTCCGAAAAGACTGGTTTAGCAACTACGAGAAAAGTGGAGGAACCGTAGTAATGGGCAATAATGCAACTTGTGCAATAGTTGGCATTGGCTCAGTTCGGGTTCGCTGCCATGATGGAATCGTGAGGACTATTACACAAGTCCGTCATGTTCCTGATCTGAAGAAGAATTTGATCTCCTTGGGTACTCTGGATGAACAAGGCTACAGGTACATGAGCGAAGCAGGAACTATGAAGGTGACTAAAGGTTCTTTAGTCATGCTGAAAGGCAAGCTGGAGAACGGCCTTTACACATTGGCCGGAAGCACCATTGTTGGCTCTGCAAATGCATCTACAGTGCAGTTATCTAATGATGACAAGGCAAGACTATGGCACATGAGACTGGGTCATATGAGCGCACGTGGACTGGAGATGTTGAGCAATCGTAAACTTTTGGAAGGTGAGAAGATCAGCACGCTTGACTTCTGTGAGCACTGCGTTCTAGGGAAGCAGAAGAAGGTCAGCTTCAGCACTGGCAAACACAAGACAAGAGGAGTGCTAGACTACATCCATTCAGATTTATGGGGTCCTTCTAAACTTCCATCGAAGGGCGGAAAGAGGTATCTTCTCATTTTTATTGATGATTTCTCACGAAAGGTTTGGGTGTATTTTTTGAAGGCAAAAAGTGATGCTTTTGAAGCATTTAAAGAGTGGAAGATTTTGGTTGAAAATCAAATGGAGCGGAAAATCAAGTATCTTCGCACAGACAATGGCTTGGAGTTTTGCAATGAAGAGTTTAATGAATTCTGCAAGGTTCATGGGATCTCAAGACATAGGACTGTCAGGCATACCCCACAGCAGAATGGAGTTGCCGAGAGAATGAACAGAACTCTTCTTGAAAAGGCTCGTTGTATGCTCCTACAAGCCAAAATGTCCAAAGTATTTTGGGCTGAAGCAGTTCACACTGCTGCTCATATTGTCAATCGATCTCCAGCATCGGCAATTGACTTTAAGACTCCGAATGAGGTATGGTCAGGTGAACCCTCTAACTATTCATACTTACGAGTATTTGGGTGTCCAGCTTATTATCACGTTAATGAAGGAAAGCTTGAACCAAGGGCTAAGAAGGCCATATTCGTAGGGTATGTGGATGGAGTAAAAGGGTACAAACTTTGGTGTTTGTCTTTACTCAAATTTATAGTTAGTAGAGATGTCACCTTTGATGAATCCTCTATACTTGATCCCCGTAAAGTTTCCGTGGAGTTTTCAGGAAACAAGAACGACGAGCAGGTGGAGCTTCCGGTGGAGCTTGCCAAGGAAAAGGATCAAGAGACTCAGGTTAAAGATGAGCCAGAAGATGTAGACCTTGAAGAACTTGATGTCAATGAACCATACACAATTGCAAAGGGGAGGGAGAAGAGGCAAACACGAGAACCGAAACACCTTATAGATCAAGCAAACTTGATTGCATATGCGTCCGTAGCTGCACAAGAAGAGATTAAGGATCTGGAGCCCTCCTCGTATATTGAAGCAACTTCTTGCAAGGATGCTGTACAATGGCGGTTAGCCATGACTGAAGAGATGGAGTCTCTTCACAAGAATCAGACATGGGTCTTAGTGAAAAGACAAAAGGGGAAGAGGACAGTTGGATGCAAGTGGGTCTACCGAAAGAAAGAGGGAATTCCTGAAGTGGAAGATGCTAGGTTCAAGGCGAGATTGGTTGCAAAAGGATTCGGTCAGAAGGAGGGAATTGACTACAATGAAATTTTCTCTCCAGTCGTGAAGCATAGCTCAATTCGCGTGCTACTAGCATTGGTTGCCCAATTTGACTTGGAGCTTCAACAGCTTGATGTCAAA